CATACCAAGGTTCAATATTCAGAAAGGAGAAAAACGATTGGCGACTCAATAAGAAATAAAATACAGTTTATTTTATCATAAGACACATTTCGCCATGTTTTTTTTTCGGAAACAAAAAAAGAGAAATTATGAGTAACAAATTTTAACACATAATTGATGATTATCGGAGTCCTATGCAGTTCACTAAGTAATAGTCAAAAAATATATGTTTACTTTTGATGTTTACTTTCACTTCTTATTATATCATATATAATGGTTCTTCATTGATTTATAAAAATCAACTTCCATATGTGTCTTGGAATTTGTGTATTATGCAAACTATGAAACTATCGTCTGCAATGTAGTATAATTCTGATTTTATTTACATTATGATGAATATGGCTTTGAAATATCGAAAAATTTAATCATGTTTTCTTCTAAGAGTTAATGATGTACAGAATACTTTGATTTATGTTTTTAGTTCGTTTAGTATTTTATTCAAAAAGGTATACGCACTATCAGTTAAGATCAATAGAGATTAATCTTTCATTTGAGATAAGAAAAAAGTTTATTATCAATATTAAGTAATAATTTTCTTTTTTTTATCGAATAGAGATAACCCGATAGATATATTTATAATAAATAAAAAAAACAATTCTATTTTTTTTTCTTGATCGATTAATAAATTTCTATAAATATTTGTTGTTCGAGTCACATTCAAATACTAGTATCTTTAATTATTCAAACTTTATGAAATAGTATTAGAATTGATTTGAATTTTGTTAACTGAAAAATGAGCTTCGACATTTATACAAAGATTTTTATGACATTTAATAGAGAATATTCGTGTTCGAATTATTCAATAGAATTAATTTATTGTTATTTGCATTGAATAAAATTCTTGAGATTTAAATCTTCTTCTATATATAATGATAGTCCTTGCTAATAACTCTTATTATAATAAATAGAAGTGTATTATACGAAGTAATATATCTCTCTTTTTTGGTTTACGATAAAAAAAAAAACGAATAACCTTCGCATTTTTTAAAGGAAGAAAAGATCGTTTTTCTTTATAGACAAATAGACTAACAAAGGATCCTGTGTGTAATTTAATCCTCACGTCTTCAAACGAAACATATGATGTGCTTGATTGCAAATATATATTCATTCTTGTCATCGTCAATTTGTCCTGTCTTTCAACTTTATCTTTCGAGTACAACATAGGCTGTTCTTTTTTTTTTTTTTTTTATATTTTATCGATTGATGACAAAAAAGAAAAGAAAAAGGATTTTTCGTCTTTTTTTCCTTGGTGTCTCTTTTATTTTATTTTTTTTTTTGTTCGAACTTGTCTATTTGCTTTATATAAATGCATTCGATATGCATCTAACGAATACCACAATAGTTTGCGGTAATATTTTGTGTTTCTTGTAAAGTATGAGGACATTTTAATCTTTATACTCTTATACATTCATCCTACTATGTACAGGTCATGAAAGATCATTTTTATAGTTTGTAATGATATAACCTCTTGAAAAAGAATCTTTTATCAATAAGTCTATATCATGTTCTAATAGACGCAAGGTGAGTGCCTAGGAAAAGAAAACACAGGAGAAAATAGTTTGTTCAAATTTGATGATGTATAGTATACAGATTAAACATATTAGCATTGAAATGTGAAGGGTGAATTTATAATATATAGTCTTCTCTGTATGTTGCTGTTTGACGCCCTAAATTCCAAAGTAAACATATACATTGAGAATAGTAGTAAGAGACAAACGTGTAATTGAATGTGATGCAATCATTAATACAAAAATTTGTGTATGATGTGATCATCCTTTGTTGTCTATGTTTAAACTAAAATAAGGTAATCGTAAGTATAAAGAATAAGAAAGAAAAAAAGAATAACGAATGGTGTTGATTTGTTCTTTATGATGAGAAACAAAGTAAATCAGACCTTGATTTTATTCGATGGCAAAAAAGAAAACACACTAAATTAATATATTAATTGTCATAGAAATTATAAATTTTTTTTTTGATTAAAATAATTTATTAAACGAAATATATTATTATGGATATATTGGGTTTTGCTACGAAATTAAAAGCTGGACAACATCATTCAATTCAAAATGATGATGTATTTATTGATCGACTCAATCATAGATATACAGTAACAATGATTTTAGTTTTTGCTGCTATTGTTACCACTCAACAATATTTTGGTTCACCTATAACATGCTGGGTAAAATATTTCAATTGATTCATACATAGTTTTCTTTTTTGATTTGAATTTATTTTTTTTTTAGGTACCTGCACAATTTACTGGTGGTTATGAAAAATATGCTAATGATATATGTTGGATAATGAATACATATTATGTTCCTATGGAACATGATATTCCACATGCTGAAACAACACGATATGAACGTAAGTTTTTTTTTTATTGTCATTTTGAATTATTTATATATTTTTATATGTTAATTATTAGGAATGTTGAAATATTATCAATGGTCACCATTTATTCTTCTATTTATGGCATTATGTTTTTATTTTCCACGTATGCTTTGGAGATCATTAAATAATAAATCAGGTTTAGATATTGAAAAATTAGTTGGTGCAGCTTTAAAACAAGAACAACAATCTGATCAAAATGAAGAACGACAGAAAACAATTGATTATATTACAAATTCAATACGTGTCTATATTGAAAATCGATATACTTCTCCAAGACAACCTAAGTATCATTCAAAAAATTTTTTTCAAAAATTTACTTATTCTTTAACATTTTGGCGTCATCGTCATTTAAGTTCATTTATAGTTTTATTATTTACATTTGTTAAATTTTTATTTCTTTTTAATTCATTAGTACAAATATTTTTATTAAATGCTTTTTTGGGTAATGATTATCATTTATTTGGTTTTGAAGTTATTACAAAATTTATGCGTGGTCTTGATTGGGGTGAATCAAAACGATTTCCACGTGTTACATTATGTGATTTTCATATACGTGAAATAGGTATTATACATCGATATACAGTACAATGTGTTTTACCAATAAATTTATTTAATGAAAAAATTTTTCTTATACTATGGTTTTGGATATTACTTTTAGCAGCTTTTAATATAGGTGATTTTATAGCATGGTTATTTCGTATTATACGTGTTGATAGTCGTTCAGCGTATATACGAAGAAAATTAGCTATGAATCGTGCAATAATAAATGAACCAATTGATGAATTTACTAGTCCAGAACAAATGAAATTAAATGAAAAAATTCGTAGTAAAGCATTTGTTCATGATTATTTACAAGAAGATGGTTGTTTTGCAATTCGTCTTATTGCACGTAATGGACAAGATATTATTGTTGGTGAAATAGTTGATAAATTATATAAACATTTTTGTTTAATTTATGAACGTGAACATATTAATTCTGATCAAGCAATAATTTTACAAAAATCTAATAAACATCATTTATCAATACCACCTGTTTCACCACGACCACGACAATTTGAAACATTAAATCAAGATGATGATCATCGATATTTAGTCTCACAAACAAATACATGATGATGATGATGACTATGGATCTCCTTTTGATCTTTTTCTTTCTTTTTATTCCCTTATGCGTTATATGTGATATGATATCTATATGAATAACTATTTTAGATCAGTTTGAAAGAATGAATCAATATTAAAAAGAAAATTTTCTATTCAAGATCATTTTGTACTACTGCCGTTTAAAAGCAACAAAAACAAAATTTTCTTAATAATACCTTGAAACAAAAATATAAGATTTTCACACATTGATTAGTTTTCTATTGTCAAGGTAGTATTAAATAGGATGGACAAAATTTGAAATAGAATCAATAATTCATTTAGAACAAAAAAAGAGACAAGTTTTATCATAGATAAATATATGCATGTCTAATCAAGTGTTTAACTAATTTAAAAAAAATAAATTAGTCTATTGAATATCTACTATGTAAATCATTATTATGCCAACTATTACAAAATCATTACACTATTGAAACTTTTCATGTTTCTTATTTCATCTTGAAAGTTATTGTGCATATTGATAAAAAATATATATTTAACTTAGAATTACCATATATTCAAGGTTGATATTCTTTTTCATGGTATTAAATCAATATCAAAATTTCAAATGGATTCATTCTTAACGGTGTTGAGTTATATTTTGAATGATACTTTTTCTTAATCTATGAAAATCAATAAACAAAGTAAATATTTCCTTTAGAATCTATTAATAAATGACAGTACATTTTAATAGTAGATATAGGCCTTGGTTTTGTAATAGCAATTGTAAAGTCATATTTATGTCATCATTTTTTTTATATATGTATATATTGATATATATACGAAACAGCAAAGAAAGATAACAAATACACATATATAAGGTATTCTGATTCCATTTCCATTTAAACAAAAAACAAAAAAAACCATACAAAATGCAAACATAGATAACTCAAATAGTCTTTCTCTCTCTCTCATAACACTTCTATGCATCGACTAGGATGTATATTCGCGTTTCTTTAAGAACAAAAAAAAAAAAAAATCGCTGCCCCAAAATGAATACATAAAAATCATTCACAATAAAAGAAAAAAAAAAGAAGAAAACAAATGACCAGAACACACACGACAATTCGAATATGAAATACAGTTCATTTCTTATTCACCTAGGCAAAAGAGGAAGAGAGAGAGAGAGAGAGAAAGAAAGAAAGAAATATACAATTGCGTCATTTTCAAACAACAACAATCAAACGAAACAAACAACAATAAAAATAATACATAAGATATTGCGCTACAAAACTCACGACAAAAAAAAAGAAAAGAAACATCAATCACAAAAGAAAGACTTGCTTGGCTGTTCATTCTCAATATTATTTTGATTATTCGTTTTTTTTTCTTTCAAATACTGTTCGAATAGAGACAAAGAAAGAAGACACTCACTGTAATGTTTTTCAACAAAAACAAATAAATGACTAGTTTTTTTTTTTGTTTTGTTTTTAAGCATGAACAGGTGATGATACACTCGTAAGTAAATTATGTGTTGATTGATGATGATTTTCTACTTCATCTTCATCAACATCATCATTTTCTTCATCTTCATCAATATCATTTGAATTTTCTTTTTTTGACATATTCACTGGTTCTTGATCATCAATATTTGATGATTTAATTATTAATTGTGAACGATTAATTGGTTCTAATTTAACTTTATTTGGTACAAATATTTCATTATGTTGTTGTTGACTTGATAAAGCATTAGAAAATAATGGTTGTGTTACTGTTGTTGTTGCATTTGTTGAATTTAATGATGAATTTGTATTTGTAGTTGTAGTTGTTGTTGTTGTTGTTGAAAGATTATTATTTGGTATACGTGAACGATGACTTGAACGTAAATGTGAATACCAATCTTTTGGTATAGGAAATGTTTGATTACATAATTCACAACGATGTGGTCGTGTACCAGAATCATGTGTTTTAACATGACTATTAAAATTACCTATTGTTCGATAACTCTTCAAACATAATGGACATGCATATGGTTTTTCACCCTAAATAAAAAGAAAGTTGTTGTTTTTTTTGTGCTTTTTGAATTGAACTAACAAATAAAATAGCTGATATAATTAGTTCTTTGAGGACGGGCGAAGTGAATTCACGTCCTGATATTTTTGGGATCTGAATAACTTGAAAAAACACGAAGTTGTCCCTTAATATTTATGGCAATTAGTACCCGATTTAATGAGTTAGAACATGAGCCATCACTTTTCGAAAGGGTGTTTCATATTATGAAAATCGTTCAAGAGTCTGGAACTGTTAAGAGTAATCGAGCTGATTTACCGATCTTTGAAGAGATAGAGAAACCTGGCATACAAGTTTTTTTTTATCACACTGATAATTTACTTGTATTACAGTGGAATGATAAACGTGATGTCACAGTGTTACCCATTATGGTTCCATCTGGAAAAGTTCACTTTGCAACGAAATAGTAGAAGATAAAATTTTCTTTGTGTGAAAGAGTATAATGAAAACAGAAGTGTGGTGAATAAATATGACATGCAAATACACTTCTCAGAGTGCATCAGTCGATCAGTAAAGTGGTACAAAAAGTTCTTCTTTCATTTGGTAGATCTTACAATTTATAAGACATATATTTTATATAAACTGAAGAAAAATGTCAATCTTCATTTAACTACTTATCAACTTGAGATGTTTCAAGAAATTATTGAAAAATATGCTAGCCGCCGAGTGCTAATCGACTACCTTCAGATAGTTCACTTCGACTTACAGCACGATATTTTTCTTCGCACATTGCATCAATAGTAATTAGTATACAAAAATAATTCTGTACTCAAAGGGCTAAGTATGTAACAAAATTAGGAAATTTGAATTCGACTATTCCAAGTAACATGAACAGCCGAAGTCGGAAGTTTAAAAGAAATAATTTTCTTTTTCTCTTGGCATCGATTGAATTGTTTTGATTAAGATGCGATTTTAGTTGTATTCGAAAATTTATATACATGATTTTAATTTCAAATATTTTAATCAATTATTTGTCAGCATCAGATATATGAGTAGTCAAGTTATGCTTTTTGGTAGTCTATGAAACTTTCTATTTTCTATTAACTTTGAAGACATTGGAAAGTAATACGATGTATCGTAAGGAATTGCTTGTAGGCATTTATTTCATATACTTAAAATGTTATATTAAAGAAGAGTTGTTTTTTTTTTGCTGAATAGTAAGACTTATGTTTAAATGTTTTAATTCAAAAGTTTGGCTCTTTTGTTTTTTGAGGGTACTGCCGTCAATAGTTAACTACAAGAAATGCGCAAGAATCTTAGAAGTTTTGTTTTTGACATATTCGATTTTGTAGAAGTTTTTTGTGTTGATTATCTCGATAGAAAGATTTTCCGTATGCCTATAAAGTATACAAAGGTTTCTGTGACACACTGATAGTAGAGTACTCTTGCAGGTATCATGAACTCACGATATTTACTAAGAGTTAAAAAAATTAAGCTGCTCTAAAAGGACTGAGTAATATTCTCGGATGTTGATGGAAATTAAAAATTCTTTTTTTAATGAAAAAAGCTCGACAGAACGGATTTTTTTGTTTTGCATATCTTTGTATCTTTATGGTTAATTATTCATGCAAGTAATCTACCAATAAATTAGTTGTAATCACATGAATTTCTCGAGAATTTTCTGAAGTTTCAAAGAAGCCTAGATAGAGATTAGTAAGAACTCTAAGATTACAAATAAATTATTTTTCAAAAAAAACGACAAAAATTTGAAAAAAAAAATATATCATTGACATTTGTTTATCTATACCGGATGATCTTCATTTTTCTCTTTTACCTAGATAATAATAATAATAATAATAATAATAATAATTTTAAATAATAAAAAAACTTGGAATTCTCTTCTATTATTAGATAAAGAAAATTAACTTATTCTGTCAACATACAATAGAAAACTTCTATTCTCTTTTTTTTTTGTGGTAGATTATTTCTGGAACACCCATTAGTTTACTGGGTGTAACCCGGAGGATCGTAATTTGTAGAGTAGTACTCTACGATTTTGAAGGACATCCATGAAATGCAATATCAATAATGATAATTATTACGTTTTTCTTTCTTTTGATGGTAGAGGGTGGTGCTCGACCTAATCTACTCTTGGTCACGCTACCACTGATTAGAATAAACCATGTAGTATACACTGTCAACAATTGCGGTTTGTAAAAAAAAGAAAAATATTATCTCTAAGACAAAATTAACATTTCTAATGAATTGATTGACAGAAAAATATTTTAACTTACAGTATGAATTCGAACATGAATTTGAAGATCTCCAGAATTAGTAAATCGTTTTTCACAATAAGTACTAAAAATACAAAAAAGAAAAAAAAATTTAATTTTCTTATTCGAAAAATTTCGAATCAATTTTACCATGGATATGGTTTATCATTAGTATGTCGTCGAACATGAATTTGTATATTAGTAACAATTTTTTCACAAAGTCCACATTGATATTTTTTCAAATTTCCTAATTGTTTTGCCATAAATACTTGTTTTTGTCCTGTTTGATTAATTGCTGTTATTGTTAAACCTTCAGATGTTGGTGTTGTTGATATTGTTGATGATAATTGTTGTTTATTAAGATTTTGTTGAAGACCATTTGTACTTATATTTGAACTATCATTACTTATATCACCAGTTGAAAGACCATCATCATCATCTTGTTCATCTAATGATGGTGAAAGTATTGTTGCAACATTTGTATATGATGTTGGAATTGATGATGATAAAATATTATTTGTTGTTGTAGCTTCTAATGCAGCTACAGCTGATAATGTTGGTTTGCGATGTGCACGTGTTTTTGATGTATCTTTTACAAAAAAAAATCAATAAGATTTTAAATGGATCACAAAAAATTAAAAATTCAATCCACAGCAAACATGTTTGTCATTTTCAAACTCATGCTCTCTTACCTCAATCTATTTAATTATTTTTTTTTGTTGTTCTTGTTTATACAAAAAAATAAAAAAAATAAATAAATTAATATTCTTACTATGATCTGAAGTAACATCACTAATACCATTATTGCCAATATCAGTTAGAGTTTCCGTTCCCTGTTAATCAAAAAAAGAAAAACTTAACCAATAAATAGATTAAAAGTTAAATACAAAGATTTCGACGAATATCAATACAACATTCTACTTTTAAGTATGTAGATAATTAATCATTAACGACTTTTATAACATCATAATTAACTACTTAAGATCGAGTAAGAGTTCAAAGAAACGGGTAACAGAAACAAAAAAAACAAAAATTTTTCAAACCTTGAAGGTTCATTTCCGCGCTCAGAACATTCCTGGTTCTTCCGACATGATATACATGCAACCAGTATTTTATCGAGATTTTCTCTTCCGGAAGGACGATTTAAAATTTCAGAAGAGAGAACATACCACACAAACTACAAGTTCCGGAAGAGTTAACCCGATCTTTTTCGGAGTAGTGTCACTTCCACGCTAGATAAAACATTGCATGCAATAAGTCTACAGAAGATAGATCTATGATATGTATACTTTTCAAATCCAGTGTAAAACAAATGCTCAAATAAGCTAGTAGAAAAAAATTTAGCGTAGTACAATCGAGATTCTATTTAAAAACTTATTTTTGATTTTGAAAATTAAACCTACGGATAATAAAGAGACGGCAATACGTTCAATATGATTGCCTTTCACCGAGTTGAATGATCGACTTGAAGAAGATATAGAACCGGGTGTTGTTAAATTAAGTGAAGAAAGATTATTTATTGATGTATCAGTTAAAATACTCGATTTAAGTAAATTAATACAATTATAAGATTCATTATTTGATGTTATATTCTAAATATAAAAAAAAAAAAACGAAATATATACAAAATAACAAAACAAAAAAATCATTTGTTTTTTTTAGTTTACCGATAATTCATGATCTTTTGTTGAAGATTTAAATTTCTTTTTTTGATTTGTTGTTTCATTTAAAATATCATGTTTTCGTCTTGGACTTGTTCGTTTATTTAATGATGATGATGATGATAAAAATAGATTTTGAGTTTCAATAGATTCATTATCATGATTAGATGATGGAATTTTAACAATTAATTGTACACCACTTGTAGTTGGTTTTTTATTATGATTTAAAGTTTGATCAATATGTTTAGGTGCACCTTTACGTTTTGATAATCGTTTTGGTTCAAGAAGTTTTTGTTCCATAGAAATTTTTTGTTGTGTTACATTTTTTATTTGTTTATCTAATTGATAACGTGTTATTTGTGATGTTTTATGAAATTTTGATCGAAGAATTTTTTGTGTTTGTTCAAATGTACGATATAATGTTTCAAGTTTTGTAAGTGATGTTGCACATGTACCACAAATAATATTTGAATAATGATCATTAAAATTATTTTCAGGTAAATTTATAGATAAATAACGTACAATTAAATCACGATAACGAAATGGACGACGTTTATATATATTATAAATACGATTATGATAATGTGAACACCAGATTTTATGATGTAATGATGATGATGCTGATGATGATGATATATCTTTTAGACGTGTATAACAAAGACGACATCGATCTTTTATACTCGTCCCAGTGGTCATTTCTATATGAAAGGAAAAAAAAAGAAATCTATAATGGACATTATTATGATTGATAGAAATGTGTTTACGTAATATTTTATAGTTTAAGAAAAAAAAAAGAAAAGGAAATCTAATTCACAAGATATTAATGTTCTATTTTAAAAAAAAAATCCTATTAGGATTATAACGATCTTGATCTCATTTTCAGAAAATATACATGAAAGTATAAGTATAAACTGATAAAAATCTCGACTCAGGTAACTTTTTTTTTCCTCTTCTATCGACAACATACTTCGATCATACTTTTACACACTTTACATACATAGACCGAAATAATATATATATATATATATATATAAGCATATAGAGAGAAAAAAACAGAATGACGTACTGCTTTTTTTTGTCTTACTCTCTCTCTCTCTCTCTATCTTACTATCAGAAATCTCTCTTTTCTTTGAATTTGTTCAGTGACGATAGCGGCAACAATGTCGGTGGTCTTCTTTGCGCGTTCGCTTGCGCTTGCGCGCGTTCACATAACTCTCTTTAGTCCTCCCGGAAAAATATTGATGAAAAAATACGTATAGAGATAGCAAGCAACAGTGGGTGTTCATGAAAAAGGGAAGGAGGGGGGGGGGGTGTGAGAGAAGAAAAATTCTCGTCTAACTTCCCTTCGGTCGGGTATGAACATATTTTGCACGCACACAACTAAATCACCATGAGAGACAGAGAGAGAAAACGAGAAGAGTACGCTGCTTACTCGTTCGTTTCTCTCTTGATGATGATGTTCAGGACAGTTCTTCCTCTTTTTTTTCTTCTCTGTCTCTCTCTCTCTCTCTGTGTGTGTCGCTACATAACGAAGAGAAAGAAAAAAGACAGGCTCTTTTTTGAAGGACGGCACGACGTGCTTGTTGGTGGCACGGTCAGGATTGAACAGCGTAGTAAGTTATGTTCCCTTCTTTTCCTCTCTTTCTACACAAAAAACTCCTCCTTTTTTTTTCTTGCTTTTCTTTTTTTTTTTTTTTATTCTCTTACTCTAGTCATCATGTTCACAATTGCGTGTATAATGCTTCTATGTGCATATTTCCAAGGTTCCCTCCTCCGATTTTGTCTAACTCGTCGTTGGGAAAAGAAAATGAGAATAGAAACAAAAAAAGAGGAAAAAAAAACCGAGGAGTTGTATAACACACACATACATGGATAGATTTTTTTTTTCTTTCTATTCACCGATTGTGTGCGTGTGTTCAACAGAGAGTCTTCTTTGTACTTTTTGTCTCCGACATTCTTCCTCTACTGAGAACAAAAACGTTCGACATGAGCAGAAATAGAATGATGATAAAAAGCAAGACACATAAGCAGAAAAAAAAAAGGAGCAAATACACGCCTATAGCACTATCATGGAAATGATGTATTGCACAGAGGGAAATAAAAATAGAGCTGTAAATAAGCAAAAAGAAAAAAAGCGTTTCTTGCATAAATAATATAGAAGATTATATCTTTATGTAGAGTACAGTTTTGTTTTTTGTTTATTATATTCTTAAAAACTTAAACCTGATGGCACGTGTATAAATAGAAATCAATGTTATTTTTTTTCGATTTACTTACATAGTGAAAAAAACAAAAAAAAAAAATATATATATATATATGTCCAATATGTGTATGCTAATTCGCTTGTTTTATCAAGGTGACGAAAGGCTATGCACAAACGAAAATTTTATGCTGCTTCTTCTTTTTCGTTGTCTATTTATTCAGCTACTCATTTTGCATACACTATCATCCACCTTCTTTCTCTGTATACTCACATGCTATTATTACTTTCTTGTTACGAAAGATGACTAGGTTCTCTCTCTCTCTCTCGCACACACATACATTTACTTTCGCACGACGAGAATCTTTATCTACATCGAACGACGTTGTCGTCAATGTACTTTTTTTTGCATTGTTGTTGTTCTCTCTCTCTGTCTCTGTCGATTCTTACCTGTTCCTTTCGTACAAGAGAGAGAGAGAGAGAGGAGTACAGCACAACGCGTGGATAAACTTTTTTTACGCCGAGTATGCATCTGTGGTGTGTATGTTCTTCCTTTTGCGACTACGCACTTTTTTACATATTATCAATTTTCCTTTTCTTTAGTTCGTTTTGTAACAGACAGATGAAGTAAAAAATAAAAAAGAATGCATTGAATACATACGTTGTTTCAAGGACAATCAGACCAACAGTCAGCAGAGATTCGTTGACAATATTTCGTCTCTTTTTTTTTTTTTTTATTATTATTTTTTTCTCTATCTTTCTGACTCGTTTCTTTTCTCACTGCATGATTTAGACTGTGCCTTCTTTATATTTTGTGTATCCAAAAAGCAACAGCAGCAGCAGCTTTCGTCTTTCTACGTCAATGTTGTGTCGTCCCTTTTCTTGTACATTACACCCAAAGCACATACAATATAACGTCTGTTCTTTATCGCTCTTCCTTCCTCTCTCCCCCCCTCTCTCTCTCTCTCTTTCGTGTTTTTTTTTTCGAAAAAAAACCAATACTGACTGATTTTTTTTTTTTTGTGCATGTATGTTTCTTTGTTAAGATTGCTATTGCTGTTACTTGTCTTCCGATTAAAATATGTATAAATAAATCCAAAAAAAAGAAATAATAAGAAAGACAAAAAAATAAATGTCAAAAATTATAATTCTTTTATTTTGCGTATTTATTATTTACTAAATGCTGCATCAAATTGTATATTTCCACGTTTAAAATCTAATCGACGTACATATTGAAGTGATTCTTGAGCACCAACTTCTCTATCCATATCACCATCTTCCCATTCAACAGATAATGGACCTTGATAATTAATTTGATTTAATGTACGAATAATTTTTTCGAAATTAATTTTTCCACGTCCAAGTGAACGAAAATTAAAAAATCTTCTTGGATCACCAAATATTGTATGACCACCAAATACACCAGCTTCACATGGATGATTCCAATCAAAATCAACATCTTTCATATGAACATGAAATATACGTGATTTAAATCGACATAAAAATTCAATATAATCAACACCTTGATAACCAAAATGTGATGGATCAAAATTAAAACCAAATGATGAATGATTATCAATTGCATTTAATGTACGTTCAGCACTAACAATATCAAAAGCTATTTCACTTGGATGAACTTCTAATGCAAAATAAACATCACATTTTTTATATTCATCTAATATTGGTTTCCATCGTTTAGCAAAATCTTCATAACCTTCATTTATTTGTTGAGGATCAATTGGTGGAAAACCATATAATAAATGCCATATACTTGAACCAGTAAAACCAGTAACAATTTTTATACCTAAATTTTTTGCAGCATAAGCTGCAGCAATAACTTCTTTAGCAGCTCGTTGTTTAACACCTTCAGGTTCACCATCACCCCAAACATGTTCTGGTAAAATAGATCGATGACGTCTTTCATCAATATGATCACATACAGCTTGACCAACTAAATGTGCTGATATAGCAAAAAGTTTTAAATTATTTTTTGATAATAAGGAAAGAATTTCTTGACAATATTCTTGACTAGTTGATGCTTTATGAAGATCAATATGTCCACCAAGTTCTAATCCATCAAAACCCCATTGATGAGCTTTTGTTGCAAGAATTTCTAATGGTATATCAGCAAATTGACCTGTAAATAAAGTAATTGAACGCATCTAGAACATATTTATTAAAAAAAAAATGGTTCCTTATATATTACAAAAATACAAAGGTAGAAGAAAAAAAAAATTGATTTAAGTTTATTATTCATCATTATATGTAAATAAAAAGATCAAATTGATATACATAAACTTTTAATCATAATAATTAAATCATTTTCAAGTAGAGTCATATTATTTTCTTTATTAATTATTTTACTGATATCGTTAAGTTCAAATAAGATAGATATTTATAATTTTTCATATGGAAAAAAGAAAATCATAAATTGTATATATCAGGCATTATTCGTAACATTTAACTTCTATTGACAAATTAATCAAAGATAATAAAGCCAATTGTAATAGGTTAGAACATTATCCTTTATTGAAATATGGTTTAGATGACTATAAACAGATAGCTGAAGTTATAAAGTCTAAAAAGAAAAGATAAAACAGATGAATATATATATAGAGAAGGTCTGACTAGATGAAAAATATGTGGCGACAATAGATAAGAATTGAGGTATGATTGGTTTTTGTTGTAAATCAATGAAATTTCTAATTTTAGTACTTTCATTTATATTTATTTGAATTTCATATTTTTAGTTTTTAATAAAATTATCTTAATAACTTTATCGAAATATAATAATAAATGTTACATTACAAGAAATTTTCGATGAATTGATTGAATAATCTATTCGTAAAGGTGTAAGATTGATGTTGCCAGCAGAATTAAACTGGTAAACTACAATAAAACTATTTTGTTCTTATAAAAATGATTTTGTGATTTGAAACTTGGATGATATGTTTGCTGTTTATGTAGATCAATCAAATGATAAATAAAATAATGATTATAGAAGCAAAGAATTAATTCTTATTAACTTAAATATTTCATTCAAGTTTTTTTTTTATTAATATTTCGATCACATTCTCACATTAGTATTTATGTATGTAAAAGAAATTCACTAAAATTTATTGTTCATATGCCTAATTGACAAGACAATAAGTTACAATCAATCAATGCCTTGCAAACCATTAGTGTATATTTTTTGCATCAAATAACTATAAAACTTTTCGGCATACTAACAGATATGCCAGAGTAAGTGTTTTCTTAATATCATCGTCAAGTTTGCATACTCATACCCTTAAGGAATACCTCCTTCATTCTTTTCCAGGTTTTCTGAAGAATAGCTCATTAAAAATATTTGAAATTTCTAGAATAGATAGATCTCAATGACGAGAGCAAAAGTTGTTATAGACTTCAAATTCTAGAACACTTCCTTCTAGAAAATATCTGGATCGCAAGAGTTAAAAATCGTCTCACTTTCTCAGTCATAATATATTCGATAGAG